ATAAGAGCTCGAACAAATTTTCCGATCTCTCTTAATCGCAGCATCTCGTGTGTGTTCGTGCACACGCTCTCTTTCCAAAGCTCTCGCTCACACGCTCACAGATCAGGTGATAGCACAGAGCTATTGTTTCGCTCAGGTCTGTGAGAGCATTGTTCAAAGGATAGATAGCTCACCTTCCAGCGCGAGATGCTGATTTAATCCATTCTAAAGCTAAAATGTTCCCCAACATGAATCCAATTTTCCTGGCGTTCCTCTCTGAAGGCAGGGATTAAAGGCGAGCTGTCAGTCTGTGCTCCTCAGATCCGGAGAACCGTCACTGCTCTGATGCTCTCAGCGTCTCTCGCCGCTATCTGGAATCTGTGCGCTTTAATTCACCTCTGTGCTCAGTAGCAGATTTGGTTCACATTAAGCATGTAGGCAGGGCATTGGCGCTTTGACTGTTTAATGATGCTGTTTTCGATACTGGAGTCTCATCGATAAGGTGAGGATTGCTCAGATGAGACTGATACTGAGCTTTCTCAAACTTTAGTTCACTCAAGACTGCAAGGTCCTGGAGGGGCAGTCGGTTTTCTCTTTTATTATTTCTGTAATTATAATCTAGCGTCTAATAATGTAAACATTTTCCAACCCGAATGACTTGCCTTCTTCTGTGAAACCCGAAAGGAGAATATTTTTTAGAACATCCCAGTTGCTCTTTTCACAATTTATTATTTTTTTGTGGTTTACATTTATGCATGTGTATTTTATTCACATCTTATTTTATTATCTGTGTGTTGTTGTTGTCTCCGTGTACTGGAAGCTTGTGACACTATAACAAATTCCTTGTATGTGCAAACATACTTGGCAATAAAGCTCTTTCTGATTCTGATTCTGATTCTATACAATGACAGACAGAACAGAAACGCAAAAACACGAGAGCGAGTAAGCAATGATCTGTCCGTTTTAAACATGACCTGTTAGTCATTGTATGTTAAGACAATTATTTTACATGCTTTCTGAAATGTTATGTTTAAATATAAAAAATTCAGTATGCACTCATTTGCATAAATCTCCAGAACAGATATCTGAACATTGGATAAAGCCAGGCTCAAAATTCCTGTTTGGTTTTGTTGACATATTAGAGATTTTCCAGACGAGGTTTTAAATTTATTTTTTAACATGCTAGAAAAACAATAGTTTTTCAGCATGTTTTTAGGAGTATAAATCAGTGTGAATGATATATGAACAAGAAACCCCTGAGTAAAAGCCTTCAGAATATAGTTAGGAACAAAACTGTAAAGTTTGGTGTATGCAAGTGCTGCTGAAGTGGAGAAACAAACTCTTTAAAGATTGATTGGACTGAATTAAAATCTTTAGATGCAAATAGATAAAGTGCAATAGAATAGGCACTTAAATGTGTGTTTTGGATGTTTTCTTTCCGCTAGTCTGAAAGAAGACATGTTATTTAAGCAAAACAGACCTTCACATCTCTGGCAGTATTGTAAGAACTAGTGACCTAAAAAGAATTTGCTCTAATTTGAAGCTCATGAAATCTAATGCAAAACTTGAAAATCCATTTGTGCCCAGTTCACTGGCTTGGAAGTTGACTGGATTGAATTTCAGTTTTATAGGATAATAATAAGTTAAAGACTTTTTGCAGGCATATCGCTCCTTGGGGCCCTGCTTGGACACTGCTTGTCTAAAGGGCAGCGAGGATTGAAACGCATGCAGATGAATGGAGCTTGGACTGGGCTTATTTGTGTTTAATGTGCCATAAGGGGATGAGGTAATTAGCTTTAGGTCAGGTAGTAAAACCGGTGCATATGAATGAACATCGTGCAGCTCATGTAAAAGAGAGCGCATGACTGCGGCTAGTCTTGGCTGTCTGAATATTTTAGGCCAGCATGGACGTAGTTGGTCCAGATCTGCTATATTCACTTGGTTTCAGATGTTCGGTATGTCAGCAATGGCACAGAAATCTTTAACATCTACAATGATGATGCACAATACAGTGATAAATACAAGGGCTGTCAAGCGTTTAAAATGTTTAATCTAATCAATTATGTGATGTGCCAATTAATTAACCAAATTAATCGCAAATTAACTGCACATCAATTTTGGCTGAAAAATTACCCCCAAAAGATCATTTAAAGACATTGTATTAGATGAGAAAAGCATTGAATAGACATTGATTACAGAAAGTAGCTTTGGAAACAAATATTTTGATTCAGCATTGCATAAATAATGATAATGAATGGTTATAAAAGTTTTTTAAATTAATATTGAAATAAGAAATTATCTTTTTAATACAATGAAACTAAATGCGCCAGTAGGTGGCAGCAAGACACTGAGTCATTGAATAATTTATTTAACCAATCCATTCAAACAACTGATTTGTTCAAAAATGAAGCAAGCGACTGTCTTTATGAATGAGTCACGGAATCATTGTTTCACTTGATTCATTTAAAACCGCGGATTCATTCAGTAAATCACCGCTGTGTTGCTCGGAGACTCACAACAGTTTTGCGTTGTCCTGCATCGTGCATCGTAAGATGACATACAGGTATAGGCAGGTGCATTATATTTTCTATAATTAATCACAATAAATAAATACCAACATTCTAATTATGCTTTTGCCCTGATTCAGGTTCACCGTACACTGATTCGCTTTAAAGGGAACTAGGGAGTGGAATGAGACACACCCAGATACACGATACAGCTTTTTTATTTTATTTGCATATATTCTTCTTGCATCCAAGCTATCAAATTATGCTGTGCTTCATCCTTTATTTAAAATCAAGACATTAATGAACATATTATAAAACAGACTCTCTCTTAGCAGTTTGAAATCAATCATTAGGATTTGTTTAAAAGACATGACTAATTAAAAAGGATATTTAAATAGGATTGAATTTTAATGGTGTTCTCCCTGTTACCTTTGTGTGGGGTTAACATGAGAAGAGAGGAGATTAGATATTCTCACACTAATTATGAGCGGTGTTCCCCAGGGGCGGGTAATGGGGCCGCTCTCGTTCTCATTGATCCCCTGCAGATCAGCGGCATCCGAGTGCAGCTCGCCCGCTCCAGCATGCTAGTCTGAAAACACACCGTCTAAAGTTCAGCTTCCCCTCAGGGCTTGTGGTTTGGACCCTTGACCTCTGAGGTTAGGCGGGAACAAGCCTTTCACCACACAGCGGTTCGCTCTAGTGGTAGGCGCCAATCATGAGAGGCAGGGAAAATATGGGTTTGTTTTATGTTGGGTTGTTGTGGTTTGTAGTGAGAAGTGGTAAGGGTTTAACCCCTTGGTAGACTGGAGATGTTTGTACAAAGGTTGTAGTATTTTGAAGGGGTTGGCTACTTTATGGCACTTTCCACAAACAGGGTAAAGATTGATTTTATAGTTTATTTTTAAAACCAATAAAGGTGCGAGTCCTCTGTTCTGTTGCAGTTTCCCAGACTGATTTGTGAGAGAACTAAAATTAAAAAAAATAAATATAAAATAAAAACACTCAAAATAGAATACTAAAAAATATTAAATATTTGTTCACCTTCATGTCATGACATCAGAGAACTGTGAACATGCAAATGCGTTGTTAAATGATTGAAATATTAACCTAAAATCTCATTTCAAGTAAATATTGTGCCTCAAAACCCCAAAAGAATCCCTGATCTACTGATTCATAATTTTGCAATGTCATCATTTTGTAGAATAGATAGTCAGTTCATTGTATAAAATATTTTAATGAGCAAAAAAAAAGTAATCTTCAGCACTGGCCCACATTTTGCATGCAGCTCTGTTTCTGTATGATGGACTCATATTCAAACAGTAGCTTTCCATAAAATACTGACATATGCCAAAATACAAAATATATTCATATAGTATGGAAGGTTGGTCTAATTCTTTTTTTCCTCATTTTTACAATAGTTGTGGACTGCATTAATTGAATTCAGTTCAACCAGTGTACTATATATATGTACTATTATGTTAAACGTTTTATCAGCTTATATAGGCTCTACAACAAAGGAATTGCTGATCTCTAATGATGTATAATTTTTGTAATAGATCATTTGTTAAAGGGTAAAGGGTGAGCGATCTGGCCATAGGTTCCCGACCCCTGGCCTAACTAAAATACTAAAATAACTCAAATTAAAACTGAAATAAAAATTGATGAAAAGTATATGGGCTTAAAAAAATAAGAAAACAAAAACACAACAAAATATTTTAACTAAAATTAAAACAGAAAATATAAAAATAATACAAGTACTTCAAAATTTTAATAAAACTATAGTAGTATCTCAATGATGCTAAAATAGCCTTGGTACATTTTGTGACAATATCATGCAGCCAAGATTTGCTATATAGCATATATTGCTTTACTGTATGTATTTTTCTTTAATTGGTGGGAAATGTAAGTTTATCAGTAACTTCAAAAATTAGGTTTTAGCTACTAATATTTTATACATGTTATGTATAAATCTTACTGCATTTAGTCATTTCTCAAATTTTGGTATTACACACTACATTTTGGTAACTGTTTAAAACATGTTTAAAATTTAGCCTTAGTATTCAATTTTAGCCATGTTTAAAATTAGAAAGTTTAGCCTTAGTTTGATCATTTTCTGAAGGATCAGCAGCTTCTTGCAGTGATCATTGGCTAAAAAAACACACCATGGTAGGAAAGCATATTACTCTACTCATGGAAAGTTCCTTATGTGTTTGAGTTTGAGTCTGTCCTGTGGATGCTCTGCGTTTGATTATGTTTGTTTGTTGATTATGTCTGTGTGTTGCAGTTGGTCATGATATGAATAGCCCGTGTGTTTGTTTATGAAGGATGGATATGAAGACTTGTTTACAGAGAGAGGCAGATCATAACCAGGTGGCAGTGCATTCATGATGCATTTCTAATGACATGCTGAGCCCTTTTCAGACAGATGCATGTTGACCTGCAGCTCTCAGACGCTGAAGCTGTGTGTACATGAGTCTCTGTCGCTGATCAGCTCTTGTGTTGTGTGTCTGGCAGGCCTGGATCCAGAGAGACATTTAGGAAAATCCCTGGCGGAGATGGAAGCGTATCTGCACGAGGTCAGAGACACACAAATACTTCTGTCAGAAAGTAAACCACCTTCAGCTGCTTCTGCTTCAGCTTTCAGCTCAAGTGTTTCATTATGACAAGATGTTTTGACATTTCTTCTGAATCATCGTTATATTATTCTTTTAGATTTAGTCCATTATTGAAAAGAACCAAATGAGATGCAACACCTTTGTATAGGACTTTATTTATTGCAAATTTACATCAACTCATGACTATTTAATATACAGTTTTTTAATATACTTTTTTGCTCTCCAAGGTTGCATGTATTTGGTTAAAAAACAAAATGGGGGAAAAAAACAGTAAAATTAAGAATATATATATATATATACACATATACAGGTGCATCTCAACAAATTTGAATATTGTGAAAAAGTTTTTTTTTGTAACTTATTTTAGCTTAATTTGAACTGTCCCAGATAAGGGTATGAATACTTACGCAGTGGAATCATTTAAGTTTTTTATTTTTAATAAATTTGCAAAGATGTTAAAAAACAGCTTTTTGCTTTACCATTATGGTGTATGGAGTGTAGATTGGTGTGGAAAAAAAGTAATTTAAAGCAGTTTAGCATAAGGCAGCAACATAACAAAATGTGAAAAAAATGAAGGGGTATGAATATTTTCGCAAGGTACTGTATATATATATATACATACAGTATATATGTATATATATGTAGATTTTTTTTTATATGAATCTCTGTTAAGCTGTAATTTATTTCTGTGATGCGCAGCTGTATTTTCAGCATCATTACTCCAGTCTTCAGTGTCACATGATCTTCAGAAATCATTCTAATATGCTGATTTGCTGCTCAAGAAACATTTCTGATTATTATCAATGTTGAAAACAGTTGTGCTGCACAATATTTCTGTGGAAACTGTGATTCATTTTATTTTTTCAGGATTCACAGATGAATAGAAAGTTCAAAAGAACAGCATTTATTTGAAATATAAATCTTTTAAATATATAAACATTTGATATTAATGTGTAGCAAAAAATAACTACACTATATAATTAATAAAAATAATAACTGTAGTGTTCCTGTTATATGAATGTGTGACTGTTTATGGCAGCTTTCAGAGAAGTATGGAGTTCATATCTGTGGAGAAGGAGGCGAGTATGAGACCTTCACCGTTGACTGCCCGCTCTTCAAGAAGAAGATCGTCATGTAAGTGACAAGCACAACACCAGCGTGAGCTGATATATATGTGTGTGTGAGCAGAAAGAATGGTTGTGGAGGAGAAGCGCCGAAGTGTCGTTCCACGTCGTGCTTTGTGTTTCAGTGACTCGATGGAGACGGTCATCCACTCGGCCGATGCCTTCGCTCCTGTTGGATACCTGCGCTTCACACGCATGCACACGGAGGACAAGAGAGAAGTACGACTCCGCTTAAAGACTTCCACACAGTTCCTTTGTCCCCGAGGTCCATCGTATGTGAATGAGCTCATGGTTGTGATGTCAGAACGAGTGGCTTTTTGCAGTATAGTTTCGGTAAATGCTCTTTTTGTGCTGAAGAAGTATGGAGGACCAAACCTGCAGAAATTATAAATAAATAAATAAAGGAATAATACCCTTGTTAAAACAAATACAAATAACTTTTAAATTAAGTCCTAAACTTACTTTTGTATTACTTTTCCTTATCTTTATTTAGTGTGTTTTTTTTATTATTCTTTCATTTATTAGTTTTTAGATTTAACATTTGAATGTGGCGGGGTTTAAATATGGAAATAAATATAAAAATAAATGAATGTATAAATAAATAAATATACAGATAAATAAAACGAAATTAAAGAATGATAAATAAAAGTTAAAAGTTAAAAAATAAATACAGAAAACAATTAATAAAGGAAAAGAAACAACGATGATTTGATCTCTGAATATTACAGTATGTCACATATGAAGTCAAACGCTTTTATTTGCATTTGCTGGGATCCAACCCTCCATATATTGATATTATTAGCACCATACTCAAGACTTTTGTCAGGCAAACACCTTAGAAGTGAAATATTTACTTAAAATGCCCTCTAAAATCTAAAGTTAATATTTCAGTAATTTAATAACACATTTGCATGTTCTCTGATGTCAGTAATGGTCACATGACATGCAGCTAAACAAACAATCTAGTCTTTTTTTGTTGTAAATGTTTTATAGTAAAATGGAAAAATTATAGTTAATGTTAAAATGGAAAAAATGACATTTCAATGCTTTTGCATTCTCTAACAAGACCTTTGCGTTCCCCTGAGAAACTTTGCGTTCACTCACAAAACTTTTGTGATGCAAATAATATGAGAAAAAAAAAACACTTCAATGTTTTTGCGAGTGAATGCATTTTCTCTGTGGAATGCAGTGCTTTTGTGAGAGAATCTTTCCTCCCATCTCTCACCATGTCTCCTGAGGTCCTCTGTATATATATATATATATATATATATTAGAAAGCTGAGTTAAATTTCACTAGCCACACCCAGGCCTGATTACTGCCAGACCTGTTGAATCAAGAAATTACTTAAACAGAACCTGTCTGACAAAGTGAAGCATGCTTAAATAGCAACACATCATGCCGTGATCTAAAGAAATTCAAGAACAGATGAGAATCAAATAGTTGACATGTATCAGTCTGGAAAGGGTTTTGAAGCCATTTCTAAGGCTTTGGGACTCCAGCGAACCACGGTTAGAGCCTGTAACAAACGCTCGTAGGTCGGGAAGAAGGAGGCGGGAACCGGCGAACAGTTCAAACTTTAATTAAATAAACAAACAAACAAACCGAAAGTAAAGCGGCAGCCCCTCGCGGACGACTAACACAAAATAAAGTCCAGGCCTGGTCCTCTCTCGTCCAACAC